CCTCCAATTAACTCTCACCATGTGCCTTATTAACATTTAAGATTGCATGTTTCATTCAATCCAAACGCATTTATTTGTGTTTAACATGTGATACTTGCTGATTTATTTCTATAGTAGCATATCTACTATCCCCCACGCCACCCATTCCCATCCTTTACAGAGAATGGGAATATCTACCATATTCCTTTACAATGCATAAAATGCAAGTCTCTCATGTCAATCTGAACCCATCTGACTTTCATCTAGATGTTTACTAAGCACCTACTATGTCCAAAGCCCTACACTAGATCCTGTGGGAAATACAAATACAGATCTTACTTTCCTGTGGGAAAGTGAGGTTCTTGCACTGAAGTAATCTGCAGTATAGTTGGGGAGACAAAACAGATACACTTGGAATGTTGACAATTCAAAAGAATACACTGGTTGTAAATTAGAGCACAGATTATAAGAGTTTCTAATGGGGAAAGATTGGTATGGCCTAGAATAGTCTGGGAAAAAGTTTTAAAGAGCATGCGGGATATAAACTGCATATTATAATATATATTATAATGTCCAAAAAATGGCCACAACAATATTTTGGTCCCATATTTTTATCAAGAGGTGGACTCTATTTATTTTCTTTCTGGAAGCTGGGTAGGCTGTGATTGTTCCAATCATTAAAGCGTAGTGGAAATAATACTATATGACTTCTGGAGTTAAGTAACAAATAGGGAGACAGCTTCCATATGGCTTTCTCTTTTGGGGAAAGCCACTGTGGAGAAATCAGCCAGCATGCCGCGAGGAAGCCCAAACTAACCTATGCAGAAAGGCCACATGAAAAGACCCTCATGAGGAGCCCATGTGAAGAGGAACTGAGGCCAACAGCCAGTGTCACTCCCTACATCTGTGATTGAAGTAGTCTCCAGATGACTTCTGTCTCCAGCTTTAAGGCCCCAGACATTGCGGACAGAGACAATCTGTCCCCCGTGTCCTGTTCAAATTCTTCCCTCAAAGAATTAGTGAGCACAATAAATGTTTATTTGCACCACTAATTCTCAGGTAATTCATTGCACAGCCATAAAAGCTGGAACACTGAAAACACGAATAGGGTTGGAGAAGAAGGAAGGGATGATTACATAAGTGCTAACACATTATTTGCCTAGAGTAGATTACTGGTGAGTGATCGGGGATAAGATTATAAAAGAAGATGAGACCACACGCTGTGATGTGTCTTTGAGTTAAGTTCACATTATTCTAGATGCCTAATTTATATGGAAGGCAATAGAAAGCCATGGAAAGTAGATGTTGAAAGAACAAAAGACCAGAATAAGTGCAGTACGGTAGAAAGATTAATTGGGGAAGGTGCAAAGGGCAGTATACAGAGAAGAGAGGCAGTTCTCAGGTAATCGTGAGAATCCAGCTTGTGACAAGTTCTGTGGTAGAAAAATGACACCGGGAATGGAACTCCCAAAGAAAAATGAATAGGACACAGTGACTGATAGCACAAAGAAGATAACTTTACTCCACAATGTAACTCTCACTATTTCATAGCCTTCCCTTTTAAATATTTAACATTTGTGCAATTTCAACATAATTCTTGATTACATATCCATGAATTTAGTTTTTATGCTTGATGCTATTTAGAGTGTGAGATCTGTCTCTATATGTCTCTCCTCTCTCTCTCTCTCTCTCACACACACACACACACACACACACAAATGTGCACTCATGTGAAAATTATAATAAGACAATTAGTTCACTTATTCCTAATTTAAAGCAGAAAGGAAAGCAAAATTATCACTAGTTTTAGGATATTGCAATAAAATCTAAAACAACATTAGATAATAATGTTAATCAATATTACTGATTCTTAAGCCTAACTAAACATAGTATGTTTAAATAGTTATTGGAGATATTTATATTACTATGATAACATAATTTAATAAATAGCATGCTCCTAATCAAATACAGATGTGG